TGGTTTTCTCTGCGCAATTAGCTAAAGTGCGTCTGGTGGGGGAAAGAGCCACGGCCGCGCGTGCGTCCTGGGTGAAGCCTCAGGCGGGCTTGGAAGGGTGACAAACCATGAAATTGGCTGGAGCCTTCTGGGAAGAAAGGCTCGGTGGAGGATCTGTCAAGGGCAGAGGTCTCGCAGACAGAGCCAGAATTTCATCTCTCTGGCGACCTTGGGTTTGGCCGCTCCGTGCCCCGCGGGTGCGCGCAGGGAGACCTCGATGTCTGGGACCGCTGCTGGGGCTGAGGTGGCTGCTGGAAGGACACGGCTGAATTCTCAGTCTCCTCAAACTGGGGCTGTCTGGTGGAGGGAGGAGCAGCCCTTTGGCCTATTTGAGCTGCATTTTTACCCCCTGTGCCGGGGCAGCAATTCCTCCTTGGTCAGCAGCAGCTCGGAACCCCCGCTTGGCACTTTTCTTCCCTAGAGATTGGTCCTGCGGCCTCGCTCAGTGCCCTGGGTGGGAGCGGCGTGGGGAGAGCACGCGGGTGACGTGAGAGCCGGGAGACTTTTGTTTCCTGTGCGTGCAGGGTCTGGGAAAAGATTGAAGTGAAGTGTGGGGCGAGTGCTTGCCGCTACAAGAGCGCAGGTGGCACACAAGGGACCAGCGACTCTCTTGGTGTGAGTTTTATGCCTTTTTCATCCCCGTTAGCCTCAGGCAGGGGTGTGGGCTGGCAGGCCTGTGCGCAGACATGGCCCCGCCACACGGGGGGGGGGGGGGGGGCCTCTCCATCTGATTCAGCGCCGAATTACTCAGATGTGAGCACCAGCTCTTATTCAGATAAAACACGGGAAGGGTCAAAAGACTATTCCTCCCTTTTTGGAGCGTGCCTGCGTGTTCCCAGGTACGCGGCACTGAAATCTGATGGCTTGAACGAGTGATGCAGGGGACAGAGACGTAGCAGAAAGACACCTACTGCCACCTGAATGAGCTTCACCCCAAAAACCAACTCCTTCAGGCTCCGGTGTCCCCTCGATGCTTGCTGTGAGTGCCGGTGGGCAGGGAAGGGCCACGTCTGACCCCGTCCCAGAGCTCTGTTGTACCTCAGAGAGCCCGCTGAGCCCTTAGACATACCCCAAGTTGGTTATGCCCTGCTTGCTTTCCAGCCACGTCATGTGTTATTTATTTTTTTTTGCCTTGCTTTGCTTCGCCGGGCTGGCAGCACACACCACAGCCTTCCTCAGGGCCTCACGCTAAGAGGTTGACGGGGAACGTCGCTGCTTCCATAGACCGCCCGCTCTCGAAACCGCGTGCGTGGGACCCTGTTCTCCTCCTGTCTGGCAGGTGGGAAGCTGTTCTGAAAGCTAATGAATTGTTCCCTGCTCAGGCAGTTCTCTGCCAGGTTGGAAACCTGCGTTTTGACGTGCAGATCCTTGGAAACAGAAGCGTCCAGCTAAAGAAATCTCACCCCCCTCTCCTCCCCGCGCCCTGCGGAGCACAGCAGCGTGGGGGGAGAAAACTATTAATTTCCTTCCCAGTTTTCTAATAGCTTTGCGGTACGTTTTGCTTCGACAGATCCAAGCCTCCCTTTCATCAGGGCGTTTAAGCTGATTCATAAAGGCTTAGTGTGGTTTGGCCCGAAAAAGGCTTCGGAAAAACGACGACTTCAGGCCCTCGGGCTTCGGCATCGGCTCCTCGCACCGCGCGTGGAGGGCGCGGAGCAGACCTGGACGTGACGGGCCGCTGGGGAAACCTGAGCGTGGAGATTTTTGCAGGTCTTGTGACAAATTAGTAACGGTGCCAGCTTATTTCCTTTCCACAAATAGAAACTCAATTGGAAATGCCAGAGAGCGGGGAGTAGCTCGGCCCGGCCGGCAGCTGGGGGAGAGGAGGAGCTGGAGGTGCCCTGCGGCGCGGGAGGAAGGCTCTGCGCCCCACTTGCGCCTCTATTTCCCCTTCGTTAAGTGGGTGCGTCCTCTTCGGAGGGTTTTGTTTGAAAGGAGGTAGCAGCAGCAGCAGAGTTACCCTGGAATTTCTGCTCCGCCGTGCGATGCAGGCCAGGCTGCTGAGCTGGCTGCTGTGCAGGACAGTTACCTTTCTCCACTAAGCAGGGGTAAAAGATCATCTTCTCTAACTATAAATAACGTTTCTGCTCTGAAATGCCTTGCTCCCTTCCCGTAGGCCCTCAGCACTTGTGTCACTGCTCCTTGGCTGTCTCCTGAACCATTCAACCCGCAGCCACACCCGCAGCCTCGCGATCCTTCTCGGGATTCCCTTGTTGAGTCACCCCTGAGCTTCGGAGCTGGGACAGTTTCTTTTGCGCTAGCCCATGGTCTAGGACACGACACAAGTATCCTCATCTCAGGATACGTCCTGAGAGCTGCTCTTTCTGAGGTACAACCCCATGAACAAATTTTTAGGGGAGCGCACCAGTCTTTTCCCCTCCTCTCTTGACACTCTTCCCATTCTAGGAGTGGCCAAAAATCCCTCCTGATCTGGGAGAGTGAGTACATTTGTTTACTCAGCCTTTACTAGAAGAGGGAGAGGCCTGACAGGAAAGCAGCGGGCAGGGAAAGCCGGTGTCTTAAATAAGTGAGTTTGCACTTTGAAATCCTGCACGGTCCAGTTGCCGGGGCATTGTGTCTCAAGGCCCTGGCACTAAGCACTTAATGACCAAGAATTTGAAGACTGCCAGTTGTAATAAAGGCTTCGTCCCTCTAATGGCTTTTTTTCCCCCCATCCTTGGCCTCAACTGCTCGGAGTGGAGCTCAGCGAGGCCTCCCTTCCCTCCCGGGTGGGTTGAAAGGCCAGGTCCTTGCCGCGCTCGACAGAAGCAGCAGCCCGAGGGTTTGTTTTGATTCAGCGTTTGTGGGCTTTGATTCGGGGTTTTGATGAGTTTTGCTTTAAACTCTCGAGCCGTGGGGCGACTTATTTTTAATTTTTTTTTGATTACAAAGCCCAGCCTTCCTGGCCGTCGCCGAAGCGAGCCCTACCCCAACACACATAATTCTGCTCCTACTCCTTAACCTCCGCGGAAGGCAGCAGGTTGCGTTACTGCCGCGGCGGTTTTGCTGCCTCGAGTGAACCTGTTCTGTTAACGCTCGATCAGTTCCTTGTGCCGTCCCTGTGAATAATGGATGAGAGCCATAATTAAGTGTGCGTGTAACTAACCTAAATACGAAACGCTCTGCAGCGTGTGACGCTGCCCCGGAGAGAGGCGTTCGGTTGCTGTTTCTTTCTTTTTGCCAGACCTTACAGGCTTTGGGAGAGGAAAAATTCGAAGCCGAAGCACTGAAATCCCTTCAGGGCCTGTTGCACAGTCTCATCACTCTTTTCCCTCAGCCTTGAAGGGCGAAGTGGCTCTTAAACTCCTTCTGGAGCACTTTAAAATCGCCCCAAGAGCTGCAATGCTTGTTGGATTCGGTTTAACTGCCTGTGCTGGCTCTTAGGAAGAGCACGAGCCAGACCTGAGGACAAATTCAGCCTCTTGACTGGCTTGTCTCGAACGACCGCTGAACTTTCAACCTCCAACCACTTATTAAAATTAAAGTGGAAAACTTAATCTGATTGTCAGCAGTCCTGGCTGGTACCTCCCGCTCCTCCTCGGCCTCAGGGTTGTGTTTCGCTGCGCTCGCATCCCGGGAAGCCAGGGCGGGGAAGGGGAAATTATTATTCTGAAGGGAACAGGCCAGGTCCTCGCTGTCTCTCTGGAGCTCAGGGACCTCTTCTGATAAGGTGAGGTCAGCACTGCCTTAGCTGCAGAAATGAGGTGCCTGTGCCTGTTCAGACAGGGTCCCCGGCTCCTGTAAGGTGTGGTTTGATCCTCCTCCCTTAAGAAGGTGTAAGGGTGAAGGCAACCTGGTCCTTTCTCCCTTCCAGGAGGAGAGGGAGAAGCGGCGGCTGGAACAGCTGGAGCGCAAGAAGGAGCTCCAGCGCCTGCTGGAGGAGGAGGATTCGAAGCTGAAAGGGAAGTCGCCCAAGCAGGTCACTCCGGGCAAAGTCACCAGGGCCCAGATCGAGGAGACGATCAGGAAAGACCAGCAGCAGAAGGAGAATGCAGATACAGGTTTGGTGGTGCCACAGAAAGGCCCCGGCAGCGGTGGGGGCTGGGGAGAGGGAGGGGGAGTGTTTCTTTTTCACCTGCTGTCACTGAAGGATGAAGCGTTTGGAAAGCAGGAGCCGTCTGCAGCTATTCCCTGCAGCTTGCTGTGCTGTGTCTGTGTCTGACACCCAAATGGGGGAAAAGAAGCCTCCTGTGACCTTGAGATGGGGAAACAGAGCAGCAGAGCAGGCTCTCTCCTCTTCCAGGGCTGCGGCTCAACTCTGGCTGAGTTTTCTCAGCACTTTCTTCCGAGTGCTTTGAAAAACGCTCTTCAGAGGGTTTTGCTCAGTCTGGCTTTGACATTAACGGCTCTCCCTTTCCCCTCTCCCTGTGCAGTGGAGAAGGAGAAGACTCACTTGGAGGTCCCTTTGGAAGAAACAGGAGGTTGCTGGAGGAAGGATCGGTGGAGGCCAGGACGATCGAAGATGCCATCGCTGTCCTCAGGTACGTGGCCGTGCTGTCGCGGGGCTCTCCCTTCGAAGGCGTCGCTTCCCTTAACTTCTCGCGGCCGCTCCCTCCCCCCGACCTGGCTTCTCTTCCCGCTTTGCCTGCTGTCCTGCCGGCGAGAACAGGACACGTCCCCCGCCCCGATGTTCTGTGGAGAGCGTCTGAAGTGGGTTGAGGAAGCGTCATAGGGTTTTCTGCTTTATCGCCTGGGTCCCTCCGCGCGCACTTGGTC